CTGAACCAGACTGGGCTTTGAAGCAAGAGAGGGTGGGAAGTTTTGGACACAATGCCCGCCACCATGCTTTGCTGGCCTCTCTTGCGCTTGAGCTCCTCCTTCTGAGCCACAATTGAGCTTTGCCGGCTGCTGCACTCTGGTGACGTTGTCTCCTAGCGTGGCCCTCAGTGAGCTTTGCTGGGCAGTGCTGGAGGAGGAGGAGGAGGTGGGACTTGATGCATAGCATTTTAGTTTCTCCAGACTGGATTTTTGGTTCGCCAGTTTGAAGTCTCCCTTGTGTGACTCCAGAGACCGGTGCCCATGCTTGCTCACTCTCTGCTGGCCATCCGAAGCGGCATTGCGCCCAGCCTTCTGCCAACCCATTGTGGTGCTTTTGCTCTGCTGGGCAGGTAGGGCTGCTGGTGTGGAAGAAGTAGTGCTGGAAATGGGAGGAGGAGGCGGTGGTCTTGAGTCTGCAATAAGATGTTCATCGGGCTTGGGGAGAGACGTCTGAGGAACCCCAGGTTTTGGAACCCCAACAAGGTGGCTCTGGTTTGATCGGTCAGTTAACAAGTCTTTCATTTCATCATAGTTGCCTAACGTATTCTGGATGCGATTCGAGAGCTCGTCCCCCTTGTTAGTCTGCAAAACAAAAATAGAGTGTTCTGCAACTGTCAACGTAAGAAAAACAAAATTCCCTGCATGCTTCTCCTGGAATCCTTACTGAAGTAGCACTGACTTATACAGCAGTGGTGTTGAGGGATGAAATCGAAAATCCTTATTGTCTCTGAAGACACTTGTCAACATCTTAAATCTACCCTGAACTGGAAAAGCTATAAAGGGCCTTCGAGTATATAAAAAAAGAAATCTATCACTGGTATCATGCTGTAGTTAAAGTATATTACCTGGAAACTAGAAAATTTATTATTGCAACTACACAGAATGGTTTGGATTAAATCTGACCATGATAAAACTTTTCCTAGAGCCCAGCGCAAGCTCTCCTTCAGCCATGAATGAAAACACTGCATTCCCAGTTTCCTTCTCTGCCTGCCTAAGTTTTCACATGGCATCTGGGAAGCCACACAACATCCAGTGTAAGCACTGAATGAACTCAGTAGTCTAAGCCAACCAAATACTCCGAGGTGACTTGAAGACAGCATGTGGCAAAATGGGAAAACTACAGGTGATTATGTCCCTTCTTTGAAAATACTCTGACAGGATGCTCGCTCCAGGGCACTCTCTTCTTTAAAAAAAAAAGCTGAACAGAATCCCCCAAATTCTTCATATTCAGTGCTTGCTGTGTGCAGCAAGGGGAACACAGCCACCCTCCCTCCCCTTTAAGATTAATCACTGTCTTTAAAATCATCCATTTACTTCCTGACTGAAAAGGCAGAAGCTCCACAAAGAAACAAAACAAGCAAATAAAACATCCTGGAAAAGATTGAAAACTCTTGCTTTAAAAAGTCACTGTGAGCAAAAGGGTGTATCATTAGCATTTATGCAGCAGAGATTTTTCTAAACCCTGCCAAGATTCAGGCGTGTGATGTTCTTTGCTTTACATTTCCAGAGGAAGACAGTAATGAGCCAGTGGTGTTCTCCTTTCTCTCTTCCAGGCATGAAGTCTGGATGGGAAAACTCCCATTGGCTTCAGAAGGCCAACCTTTCATCTCAAGACTCTCTGTTTTAGATGAAAACAGAAAGAAGGAGAAAGAAGGGAGTAAAGGGAGTGGAGAAAACCCCCTTAAAGTTACAAAAAAAAATACAAAAGATGTAGCAGCAACATCAGTTACTCTGGAAAACTGGGGGTATTTTTGGTTTTAAGCATTCAAATAAAACTGAGTCACTCAACCACAAATGTAAGGGAAACTCCCCTAGTTCAGAATCTTTTTTTTTAGGATTTCCTATTAAAAAGTCTGAATCCAAGCAAAAATGCCCTGTAAATGAGTGCAGTGATTGCCACATGCTACCTTTCAGAGGACCATAGTTGAAGCATTCCAAAGTCAGACAGCAGAAGCAGTCCTGTCTTGTTTGAAACGTGTCCCCTCAAATTTCAAGGACGCTACTTTGTAACTACATAAAATACACTACAGCTAGCTTTCTGATACGCATTTGCTACAATGCTAACAGACTTGAATATATATCAATAATATATATCGAAGGGAAGTGGGAAAGGCAAAACTCAAAAGTGTTGCATCCGAAACATTGCTTTGCAAACTTGGAATAAGATGGCTCAACCACTACAGCCTAATTTTCTCTCTGCATATGCAGCTGTTGTTGTCACAAGGACAATAACGTGCTATGAAAAGAAATATGAAGCATTAATTCACAGACAAGAAGTGGCTTAAAAAAAATGGCGTTCCTTCACTTCACAGGAATCACATCAATATCCTAAAGAAGAGGAAATTATTGGTGAGGCAGTGGGAAGTGGGAAGCATCACATATATCTGAAAAGAAAGAAGGTTGGAGATACACTCGTGTATCTTCTGCGGTCAATGAAATGGCTTCTACACTTGGGCATCACCTTGACCAGCAGAATTACTTTCCAGAAGGCACAGGAAATTTTCCTTTTATCTGGTGGATCTCTTCTATGCTTCCAGTGGATCCTCCACTTTGTGTAGATACCTTGTACAGAGACGTGTTTCTGGCTTCCCTCTAAGGAGGGAGATCTGCCCTTGGGCCTCCACCCATCCTGATTCAGCCAGCCTGTGTGTGTGAGGTTTCCTTCCCTCCCAGGAGCACGGCAACAAGGACCACCAAATGGAATGGGGCTCCTGACACCTACAAGTCTCCTACAGCACAGAGAGCTTGCGGGGCAGCTCTCCACCCGGCTGCCTGTAGGTCCATGAACATAAGAGAATTTATGTGCAAGTTTTGCCCCTGGAAAGTCCAACTACCCTAACAGGAGGTCCATTCTTTCTGATGGCGGCTATTTGTATGGGAAGTAAATAAAAGCCTAATTTCAGATTATCTGTAGACTATCACTAGCCCAGAGAAGTCAGCAGATTTTCTTCTATATGGATGTGGTGTGAAGGTCACACAGAGACACCTCGTACTGAGAGATCCCAGATAACCACAAGAATAATTGCAGCAAACCAATCTAATGCCTGTACCATGGCACATGCTGGCAACTGGTCGGTGCTGTTTATTCCTTCTGGATACACTGCAGACAGGCTGAGGTGAGAAGATCTTGTTTTGAGTTGATCTCATCCAGAAGAGTTCACCTATATCCTTTTGGGAACCAGATGGGATCTGAGGTAACTTGTTGTGAGCTATAGATGTAACAGTTTGTCCTATTATTTGCTCTGAAATATTGCTGGCCTTATTTAATCATTCACATAGGGAAAACATGAGTAAGTAGGAAAAGCATTCTGTGCAAATATTTCTAACTTACAGTGCTCTGATATTCTTCTGCAATGCAAGATGTATCCATGCATTTGAAGACTGCAAGATTCAACACTTCTAAAAATAAACCTGATAGTTGCATGGAAGGTCATCAGAATTTTTTTCTTCATTAAAAATACTGATATGATTAATGAGGCAAGGTATTCTGTCCAGTAAATATCCAGAATGAAACTCCTACTTTTTACCCCCTGTAAAATACATTCTAAGTAAAAAATACCGGATTTCCTGTAATCCTTCATGAAGGGTTGCTATGGATACTTTGAACAGGATAAGGGGCAACCCGAAGAGTCAGGATTTTTCAGAAAATCTGATGTTACAGGAGTAGTGATACATGTCAAGGTGAGAGAGGACATAAGATTTAAGAGATTTCCAGTCTGCCTTTGATTTTCAGACATGGCCTTCTGAATGGCAAATCCTTTGGCTTTAGCTCATGTTTCTCAAGCTGTGCAGAGGAATACTGAATTTAATCAGAGCTTGCAGTGAGTGTCTGCTGTAACTTCATTCCCCTCTGGAAATACCTAAAACTTGAATATGATCTTTAAAGACAGTAAGAGTGGGTTCCAGTTTTGCTTTCACAGAAAGGTTTCCTCTTTTGCAGTCAGCCTCTCTCCACGATAGGATCAACAAGTCCAAGCCACAGCTCTGCATCCCCACACTGAAGGTTCACAAATGCTTGGATGAGTTCAGACAGCGCAATGGTCCATTGCCAGTGTACACACGACATTCAGAGTACGCCAGTGCTGAAGTTTTGATGTCCAGTACTGTCAGAATGACTGGTCATCCCAAGCAGCTGTGACTGTCACATCAACAGAGCTGTGGGTGAGTTATACTGCTGTCCTGGGCTTTGCTTTTCTCCATGTTTCCTTGACAAAGCCAGCTGTAGGATGTATTTCTGCAACGTCTTCTTTACACGCTTGTCCAAAATAGGGACATAGTGTTTAAAGACAAGAAGCACGGATGGAACCATTATTCTGATGTCTCCACTCAGTATCCTCTCTGCTTCTAGAGACGGCAAGGATTTTTCCTATTAAAGTTGATGGAATTATACCATGGTTTCATAGAGGTGCCTTCAGACATCATAGCTTAGAAACTACTGGTGTGTCCATGATACATGAAGTCTGTGCTGTGACAGTCAGTACATTGGCACACAGGTAATATAATCAAAGTGCACAAAACATTCCAACTATATCACTTCTATAAGTGATTTGAGCTTCAGTATTACCAACTTTAGGTACCACAGACAAAATGGTATCAGGGACCCAGCAAAAGGACAGGCCCTTTTTGTGAGGGGTCTATTTAAGTGGACCTACCAAATGGGAAATTATTAAGTCCCCATTGCAGCAGAGCCCTCACGAAATGCCAAGACACAGCTGATTTAAGCTTTTCAGGCTTTTTTCCACGGATTAGCCCTTGATTGGTCTCACAGTGGACTTTTTCAAGTAGAGCCTTAAGGAGTTCAAGACATTTCCCATGGTTTCTAAACGCCTTTGTAATGAATCTGAAATTCGGGCAGCTGGAGGTCAGCTTCAAGGCAGACAGAGCTGTCTTCTATCAAGGGACATGGTTTGAAAGTGATAGATCTTTCTTTTTTATTAGGGACTAGAAACAAACAACAATCTGGAAGAACAGCAAGCTAAAAGCTGACCGTGGAGCACAGGCAAAAACATGGAAGCACGGAAGTCAGGTGCAGAAGCCAAGTGCCAGGTCCCAAACAGGACTCCTGGAAAGAGGCACTAAAGCACCCAAGGCATCAAGGACAAGTGAGGCAATGTGGAGGGAAAGGCTTCACAACATGGTGGTTGTAACAGTAACTTGGACATTACTGGAAAGGCACAGTAGACAATACATGATGATGCTTTAATGCATGCAGGCAAAGTCACTGGGTTAGCTGGGGGAGAGGAGCAGGCCCCATGGGATACCGCTCTCTGGTCCTGCTCACAAGGGCTTGGTTTGCAGGCTTCTGCAAAGTGCAGAAGATCCTGCTTGACCCTTCTAACAGGGAGTGGGGAGAGATGGTTGTGCCTCATCGCACTACTGTTATCACGAGGAATAAAACAGGGAGTTGAGACTCATAAGTTACTTCTGCCTTTGGTGAGGGCAAAACATATCTAGCAGACAAATTTTGTTGGTAATGCTTATAGGAAAAAAAAAAGGCAAACACCAAGATATTTCATTGCATTAACCTTGGCCAGAGCACAATGTTTACTGTATTGCTTGACCTTCACACACAATTCTAACACAATTGTTTTCTTCTAAGTGTTGCAAAAACAGGGCACCGTCACCTTCACCTCCTAGTTTTAATTCCATCTCAAATATTGTTAGGATATTTCTAGTTTATTTCATTCTCGTGTGCTGCTGAACATTATAAGAAGCTTATATATATATAATACGTATAAAATCTGATTCTCAATGAACTGTAAATGTTCTCTGCGAATTCTGTGAGGCTAGCACTTGTGGGAGGGTGCTGAAACCTGGACAATGCCTTCTGCAGGCTGTGTTTTTGTACTGTGGGATAAATAAATAAATAAAGAGCCACCCAGGTGGGAAGCATCTACCTTGTACGGTTCACTGAAGAGGGAGTAACTCGTGTTAAACGCGCCATCCTCCTGCTGGGCCTCCTGATTTCTCCTTTCCCATTCTTTCCTTCGCAGCACGTTTCTATCCGGCTCGTAGACACTGCAGCAAAAAGAGGACTAGCTTTTTAAGAGTTAAAAGTTAGCAGGCAACATATAAACCAGTGTGAATTTAAAAGTTAAGAACTCTGGTTTGCAGACAGATGGCAAAAATAAGCAAGAACATGAATCAGATGAATGCCAGTCCAAGCAGGCTGGGAAGGCTCAGGTCTCTGGGAATGCTGGTGCTTTCTTCACACAGAGAATAGATAATTAAATTCTTACAGAAGAATAAGAAAGAAATCACAGGGCAGGATCTAGTCTGTGCAGAACTTCTCTGCTTGAAATGTGACAAAGGAAATATCTAAGCAACTTTGACAAAGACTGAAAGTACTCTTAAGGCAGATGGTAATTACAGCTATGAGTAAATAGAAATTATGAACATATTTCCACTTATGACATATCCTCTGAGTGTTGTATGAGAATGCTCCTTTTTTCACATGGATGTGTTTCTGTAGTGATTCTTTCATTAACTAGCTCCCTAAAGAGCTGTTAAGACTACATGCTGTAGTGGTTTCCACAGTTAGGCTGCTTCTTCTGATCTCTGTTAATCAGCCAAGTCGTGAAACTACTACTGAAACAATTCCTCTTTCTGATGGATTTGACACTATCACAACTTCAGAGCATGAATAAACGAATACTGGCACGATAGTGTATGTATGGCTGGTAGAGTGTAGCTGAAGAGAGAATAAAATCACTGCATTACACAACAGTATTAATTTTTAGAACTGAACCAGCCTGGTTCCAATACAGACATTCAGGATAGAAATTAACTTTTTTTCTTTTTCCCCAGAATTCTAGTTTAATGCATGACAACAAAAACCAGAGAATCTTTTCCCTGAACTTCCACAGAACAACACAGGTTTGCACATTTCAGTCTGTTAAGTTTTGTTCTCCTCACAAAGGAAACCAATGTGTCTAATAAGGTTTACGTGGTATTTCAGGACAATGTGACGAGTATGCTCATTGCCTATTTTGCTTAGCTCAGCTAATGCCTTTCTTCTGGCACTGTAAATCTGTAAAGCAGAAATATATATTAATGTCATGTAAGTGCACCATGTGTTAATAAGAAAAAGGTTGTCTTGCTAACCAGCTTCCCAGTTAGCAAAACATATGTTGCATCAGCTACCCACGTGACATTACCTAGTATGCCTCAGGCAAGGCAGTCAAAAGGCCAACAGCTATCTGATTCTAATTCAAGACTTGAGAGAGCTGAAAATACATAGGATATGTTAGATGTTATTAGTATTTAAAAACAATGCCTTAGCAGTCACCAAAGGAACACAAAATCTTATGTTTACTTGTTAATGCTGCTAACTCGAACTGGACTGCGGAGTACCCTTCTGATAGGTCTGAGGGCATCTGAGGACAGATGCCAAACACTGAGCAGGGCTCTCAAACATGGGGGTTTATTGTGAAACACAAGGTTTCAGTAGAGCAGGTTGGAGGTAACTTCCAACCACCAGTCTGTTTATTCCACTTACAGGTGGTTGAGTTTTTTGGGGTTTTATCCTGTATTTTTCATGAGCAATGCATGTTATTCACGCCAACACCCTCTCTTTGAAAAGCAGTGTAATGAGGAGGCAATCATAGGGGTGGAGTTTTGGGCATGGAAAATTCCTTCCTCCAGGAAGAAGGGGATAGCGAAGGCCTCCTCACAGGGTCCCTGTGAGCAGAGATCATCTGCTGCGCACGCTGCCGAGGCCAGAGGCAGAGCAGTTGTCATTTACTGCTACGTGAGCAATCGTCCTCAGTTACTACATCATGCTCTCTGAGCGTACTCACAACAGTAACAACCTCTGTGTCTAAAGTAGACTTTCTGCCACCCTGAATAATCATTGTTGGGTTGGGTTTTGCTGGAGCTGTAGGGATCTGCAGCTTCATCCTCAGCCACATTTCCCCATCCAGAACCTCTTGACTCTTCGAGACGCTTTGCATTTGGACTCTAGCCTGCAGTCAAATAGAGATGGGCAGCTCCCCTGAGATTAATTATAATACTGATCTCTGCCCGGTTTCTAGGAAGTAAACAAGTGCAACCTTCTTCACTAGGCTTCATACAAATTTAAAAATGCACTGGTGTGATACTCCTGAAGTGGAAGGACATTTTTATCCCTTTATTCGATGGAGACGTATCTGATGGAGACATATTTGATGAAGACATACAAGTCATCAGATCTCTGAACCCCCTTCCCAAATGAGAAGTTCACTGTTGGCAATGCAATGCACAACCTGCAATAATTCAGAATGGTTATGCAAATGGAAGAACCTTGTGACAATGCCTAATATGCCATTTATAAGCAGTAAGTTAAGAAGAGCTACAAGTTGAGAGTTGTATTCTTTTGGTAGTGCCAGATGGCAAAATCTCTGGCATTTGTGAGGTTGCTCCTTATTTGCATGAATATTGCAACAATCACATTTCCTTGAACGTAAGTCACCAAATGTATTTATTTATTTTGGTTTGAGGAGAATACTGCCAACTGCTATAATTGTCTTTATTGCAAACACTTCAGTTAATGGAAAATGATTTTTTTTAATAGTTTTCTTCTGTCTTTTTTTTTTTTAATTTGTAATTTAAAACAATCTCAAATGTACATGTACCTTTGGAATCATTTACAGTGCATGTCTTTTCCATAGCTAAGCCATGAAGAACAAGTTAATGAAAATCTCAAGAATTTTTCCTCATTGGGGCATGTATGCCTATGTGGGTGATGTATGTATATATATATGTGTGTGTGTTATATGCATGCTCGCACATAAGTTTATTGATGAAGAGTTTTGCTAGTATGGGCCAAAATGTTGAAGCAGTTTTGCAAGACTTGGAAACCAAAGAACATGCGATCATTCATCTCTCAAAAGTCAGTGTCATTTATATTTGTTTCATACAGGTCAAACTCCAAAAGGATGAATTTCAATAGTTTTTAAATGGTATATTGTTATTTTTAAAATGCTGCATCTGTTTCAAATTCATGCTTAAAGGACATGAACGGAAGCATGAGTAACAAATCAAACACTTGCAAAAGTTATATATGAATAAATGTTGTATTATGAAAATTACACTATCTCGAATTTAGCACACACTGCTTTAAAAGCACATGTTGATTTATCTCAGCCCTAAGATCTATGAAGAGACATATTAGACTTACCAATGAATTATGTCTAAATACCAGTGTCTCAGGCTCAAAGGACTTTCAGCACACCATCACCACCACACGGTCACAGCAGCCCTACCTTCTCTGCTTCTTCTAGGATACTTTGAATAATTTCACTCTCTGGTATTTTACAGATGAGAATTCCAATGGATCACCAAGCTTCTCAGAGTAGGTATGTTTAATAAATTTCGATCTGTTGTGATAACTTTTGGAAGATTACCTTGGTGGCTGCCCACTCTTTGGCCATATGGTAGGTGAGCACGTCTCCCCATGAGACCAGCCTGAAGAGGAGAGCCAAGGTGCGCTGGTGCCTGATGGGAGGGCAGATGCAGCACCAGCCTCCCGAAAATACTGACAGAAATGCTCATAGCTTTCTTCACGCTACTCCTGACATCAGAAGGAACTGCTTCCTTTAGTCCTTAATTAGAAATAGACAGAGATGGCTCAGGGGACAGCCTAGGAACAGAGCAATAACCTTGCCTGAAAAACCTGGGACTGGATTTAATCTCCTACAAAGTCCAAAGAGTTATGTAGTCTCAGGGCAGGCTGAAAGCAATCATATAAAAAGCCTAAAGTTTTAAGTGTTGAAGAGTCTCCTTTTCTTTCTTTCTTTCTTTCTTTTTTTTTTAAAGCACATTATTTCTGACTCAATTTACCTCCCTCAGACATCAGTGCTTGGAACAACACATAAAAAGGTCTAATCTCCATGATGAACTGGGTGGAGACGACGCACCAATGTATTCTCCTGTCCTTCAGTTTTAGGGAACGCCCAAGTTTTGCATTCAGAGGAAGATGTCCTTTTCCACAAACTAAAGCACTGTACCTTCACTGAGGAATTACACGCCTTCGCAGACGTCTGGTGTGCATTAATGATGCTGCTTGACCTTTTCAGAAACCACAAAATTGCCACATCACCAAGGGGACATTCAGGAAGGATACCATTATTTTGCTACGAGATCACCATCCTCGTAACAGCTGGCATCTTTGAGACTGTAAAAGACACAGGTAGGTAAATTGAGGGCAAGATCGCTGGTGCTCCCCTTGCCTCGCGTCAGTTTATTTTCTGGCAAAGGAAGAGGGCAGTGACTCAGGCTGCCTTACTGGCACGACAGAGGAAGGCATTACCGCGTGTATACACACACCTGGTGACCATTACTGAACTTGTTATAATTTACAGTAACCTGCAATCTCGCCTTTGCCTTTCCAGACCTTCCAATATAATTTTCCAGTCCAAAGATTTAGTTCATTATTCTCTGAATTGCGAGGGCTTTGCAACACCCCTTCGCACCCCCTCCCCTTCCTTCTACCTCCCCACGCACATAAATATTATATAGATTTAGCAGGAGTAGCTTGTTTATTTGCAGTTAATGTTTTTGACCCAGGAGGCTGATCCCCTTCACCCCAGCAGCTACGTGCAGTGCTTTGCAGAAAACTTTCAGAACCTGAAGTCTAGACATATTAATAACAAAAGCAGAGCTGACGCTTCATGCTAAGATGCGACGATTTCTTAAATGGGCAAAAACGCAGTTCCCGCGGGCTCCTGGCAGGCCTTTGATGGGAAGACCTAGGTATCACTTGCAAGGACTGAGCTTCTTTCCCAGATTTTGTTGACTTCCCCATTTGTGCCCAAACTGACCCTTCTTCTTCAATAATCAGCTTAAGAGGCTCCATACAAAATGCTGTCAGACCGCAACACCCACTCCCAGTGTCATGAAAATGATACCATCCCCAAGCTGCCAGGTGGAGTCCCTGAATACCCCCTGGGAGTGTACAGAGCTGATCATGTTCCAAACAAACAAACAAAAAAACCTAAAACACAACACACACCATAAGTGACTAAAAGATACATGCGTTTCAAGAATAAAACTAGACCAGTGAACAAGTTTTCTGTGAGGACACATATATCTTTTTGAAATTAAATTTTAGCACACGGTCATTTCTGAATTATGAACAAAGTTGGAACTGCTTCAAAACCATGAAAAACAGGCAATATTTCAAGAAAATTTTAAATTTTTAAATGGTTTACGGATTATTCTCAACATTTTCCCACAAAGTGTAATCTGGCACACAAGTCAATATACTAAATTTTAGGCTGAAGAGGGGACATTTTCTTAAATATTTAATAGTCTAATTCTCCCCTGAATTACCACATTTATGCCAAAGTAGCTAAACAGAGTAACTCCAGGGAAAAACTTATACCACACAATAAAAAAACCAGTCCAACCCTGATGCAGGACAGTGATTATGAAACTGAATTCAGAATGGAAACTGGATTCTGAATTTAAATGTGCCATCATTCCCGTATCTCTGCAGTATTTTAAGACACAAAAGGACTAACCAGCCTGAAACCTGGTAAAGGCAATAGCCCCAAACATGTTTAGAAAACAGTCTTAATTCTGACAATTTATTTACAACAATTCAGGTTACTTTGCTTTCTGAATTGCTGGGCTTAACGTGGAAGTGCTATCATTTAATACCTATTTTCTATTTCACTGTTAATGTCCATGGTTTTTGCTGGCCAATTTCTTGGTACAAGTTCCATTTTCAGCTAAGTATAAACAACGCCTGTTTGGGAACTAATTGCTAATGGGTTATGGGGAGTTCTTAG